TTTTTTTTTTTTTTTTTTTTTTGGAGAGGATTTTTTTTTTTTTTTTTTTTTTTTTTTTTGCTACAGGGCACGTGCGCTCCCCAGAAAGACAGAGAGAGAGAGAAATCACCCCCCGGGGGGGATGACCACGCCACAATCCCTTCTCCTCTATTCTCCTCTTGGGATCTTGGGCATGCACACACACGCGCCCGGTGTGAGTTTAAGCCGCCAGGTCCGAGACTTGACCCATGGTCGACTGTATGGGAGTCCAGTGACATAGCCATTACGCTAACTGCTGGTCCCTTAAAATGTATTTCTAATAGCACAAAGAACAGGAGGAAAGTGAAAACATATAAAGTTCTTACATTCTACTGAAGTGACATTTTAAGGTAGACTGTGATATATTAAAAGATATAGACCCTACAGTAACCACTGAAAAATAAAAGCTGTGTAACTAATAAGGCAATAATGGGGATAAAATGGAATAGAAAGTACTCAGTTAAGCCCAAAGAAGGCAGTAACAAAGGAAAAAGGAAATAACAAACAGATGAAACAAACAACTAGAGAGAGAGCAAATTCAAAACTCAACCCTCTTGGTAATTACACTAAATGTAATTGGCCTAAACACTCCTATAAAAGATAATGATTTGAAAATGGGATAAAAAAGCAAGGCCCAAATCTATATGCGATCTACAAAAACAAACCTTAAAGACACAAATAGGCAAACAAAAGAACATAAAATGATATATTCTCGTAAGTTAAAGCTAGAATGGCCACATCAGTATCATACAAAATAGATCTCAGAACAAAGAACTTATCAGCAATATAGAGGAACATTTTATAATAATGAAAGGGATGAACTCACCAAATAGACATAACAATCTCAAGTATATATGTACCTAGCAACAGAACTTCAGGTTTTATAAGCTAAAACCAATAGAAATAAAAAAGAGAAATAGACAAACCTACAAATAATAAAAATTTCTTTTTTTAAAAAAATTATTTTATTGAACTTTATTATTTATTTATTTATTTAAATTTGACTGGAGAGGGATAGAGAGAGAGAGAGATGGCAAGTGAGGAAGCAAGCTGCCAGGTCCAGGACTCAAACTGTGTTCGACCATGTGGGAGTCCAGTGCCCTTAACCACCACACCACCTACTGGCCCCAATTACTGGAGATTTCAACACTCCTTTCAATCATTGATACGACAACACAAACATCAGTAAGAATGTGTATACTTGGGTGTTACCAACGAAGTTGCGTGATGTGACATGACAGCTCCCTGACGACCGCACCTTCCTCAGTCACAAAACAGGCCGTCTGCTGGGCCGTGAGTTTCAAAAAG